CCAAATCTCAGTGCATGCTATCTTGACTGTAGAAAGTAAATAGAGAGAACGTCCTCTCTCTTTCCAAAACACTAGACCCAATGAAAATAATAAGCAGCAGACAAAAGCAACTACTTCACACAATGTGTATGGAACTCACCACCATGGGATATCTAGTTTGAGCAGCTTTAAAGGGCAATTAGACAAAGTTGTGGAGGATAGAGCCATCATGGTTATTAGCCGTGATAGCTAAATGTTACTTTGTCATTTAGAGGCAAGGCTCCTCAAGCCTTTTATGTTCGGTTTGTGGGCCATCTGGGGGAAAAAAGATGCTAGCTGGATGGACACTTAGTCTGATGAAGCATGGCTACTCTTATGTTCTTACTAGAGTTAAGTTAGATTCCTCTGTACAGCAGTGGCCAGCGGTGCCTTTATAATATCTCAGCGGACTAGACAGGACATGTTGTATTTGTTTTATTTTCTCCCTAAGGTGTTAGGACCAGCAAAACAAGTCTTGGTAGGGTGAGGTGTAGGGATACCAGAGAAAGGGAAAGGGACTGAGGCTAGACAGGCACACGCAAGGGTAAACTGAAGCTCACAGGGCAAGCAGAAAGAGGCAGGTTCAAGGGGGCAAAGTTTGGAGTGAGACATAGCCAAGGTGCTCTTGTCAAGAACTGTGGGCAGACCTACCAGATCAGTACCAGCCCCACTGCAGAGTGCACTTCCAGTATTAAATTGAACCCACTGCCACTTTTAAGGTCAATACCAAGCATCTGTGGGCACTACTGATGGATTACCCAGCACCAATTTCCTTCATACCCAAAGCAAAGAGCCAATCCTGGCTTCCCCCTTCCTCCAACTTTATGATCGGAAAAACCCAAGAGGGATCACCTTTATGTCTTTAGGGAGCACCCATTCAGAAACAGCTGCCTCTATAGGACACTTGGCTTGCAGCTCCCAGCATTCTCGGATGGGCCTCAGTACCCTGTGGCAGCCGTTTTGGGGTCCCACCCACTCCTCATTTTTAAAGTGACCACAGGCTCAGTGCGATTGGGGTCCCCTGATAGGTAGCTTTCATCCTATGAAGAGGCAGGGATAAAGTGGCACCCCATCTGTGTATGTGAAGAGTCAAGGTCAATTGTGGCTTTCAGTTTAGTATCAATGTCAATGGCTGTGAATCATGCCAGTATCCTGCCTTTCCTCGATCATGGAACCTAGGGTTATCAGATCTCCCATCCAGGAACTGACCAGACCAGTACCTGCTTATGCTCCAGTCAGATTGGTGCATCATGTACCTTCAGACCAAGTTCAATAGCACCTTAAGAGACTAGCAACATTTTCAGGATATAAGCTTTTGAAAATCAAAGGTTCCCTTCTCAGATGGATGTGCAGTTCTTGCCAACTGGTGGTGTCCATAGGTTGGGGATGGTGTCAAGGAGTCCAAGGCTGAACCCCATGGGTCCCCAGGGCAGTTGTACACAAGTAACCAGGTGGTTGTTTATTTTTAAAATGTATTCATGAAGTTTATTCCAATCACTAATGACATTAAAAGTTCATTCTACAGCCAACACAGTACTTTAGAATCATGCAACATGAAAACTAGCTCAGCTATCTAACACATTTCAGGACTTGTATTAGATGGCACAAACCTCAATTTCACAAGTCAAAGGCCAAAGCTGAGGTGTTCTCTATGTTGCTAGCAATTGCTATTCAAGAAGGTTATAGTTTGGGCTTCTGTCAAAATCCCAGGTAGTCTCTTTTCTTTCGGGTCCAAGCTCAGTTATAGTTTTGGGCATAGCAACATCAGGTGAGGATGACATCCAATCAGGACACGTTTCTAGGAGAAACATCTAGAAGATTATCTCATCACCCTGGATTATCTCTCTCCCATCACACGGACCACAGAGAGAAGCTAATCACTCTACTTCAATCTCTAGTCTTGAAGAGGATAAGAACCGAGCAGGCTGAGAGACCAATTAACACCTGCAGGATGGACCAGGCCTGTTACTATTCCCATTAACCTTTGCCTCACAGATGGGCATGAATCTAAAAAAGGCGGTTCAGGGCGGCCCACAAACCGAACCCTGACCAGAGCTAAAAGGGCCCCACCCAAGTCAGTCCAGCAAGTTTGAGTCCGTCTTTCTGCTGGCTGTGACTTGTCATGGCCTGGAGAAAGGGAGCAGGGACTGCCCAAGAAGGGTTAAATGGTTGCCAGCCAGTTAACCATTCGGTTTTGCTCCCTGTCACTTCGAGAGAGGGAGTGAAACTAAAGGGTTTAATGGCTCACAGCCATTTAAACCTGCTGAGTGGGTCTGCCACTCAGCTGTTAGGTTTAAATGGCCGACAGCCATTTAACCCTTCCATTTTGCTTCCCCCCCCTTCGAAAGGAGGGAACGAAACCAAAGGGTTTAGTGGCTCACGATCATTTAAACCTAACTGCCAAGCGGGTCCGCCACTCAGTTGTTAGGTTTAAATGGCTACCAGACAGCCATTTAAACCTAACAGCTGGCCGGCGAATCCTGCTGCACGCAGCTGTTAGGTTTAAATGGCTGGCTTCAACAGCTGAACTGGCCAAAAATCCAGTAAGTATTCAGGGAAGGTGCCTTCCCTGAACATCAGTTCCTGAGCTCTGAAGTGGCCCAAGTTCAGCCCAAATTTTGGTTCTTGAGCCGGTTCGTGTCCATCCCTACCATAGGTGCCGTATCTCTGACAAAGAGAGCTTTGACTCTCAAAAGCTCATACCCTGAAAATCTTGTTGGTCTCTAAAGTGCTGCTGGACTGGAATCTAGGTGTTCTGGTGCAGACCAACACGGCTACCCTCTGAAATTATCTTCAGACCATACTCGACTATAATATAGTTTATCTCTATGGTCCTACCAAGAGGTTCTTCATTTCAAACTGTATCTTCTTCCTGGGAACCTTAGGGCAAGATGCTCAATGTTAAATGCAGTGTATTTAATTTGTTTATATCCTCCCGTTCTCCCCTTTTGAGGACCCAAAGCGGCTTATGTTGTTCTTCTTTTCTCCAGTAACGAGTAAGAGAGGAAGAATCCAGGCCTTACTTACCTGCAATTGGAGAACCAGCCTTTATTGCCAGGCCACCCAAGCAGTGAACTTCTGAAGAATTAGCATCATACGTTTAAAATTAAGTAAAAGAAAATTATATTTTGTTTACAAAAAAGAGTAGCAAACATACACTTGTAACATCAGTCGCTCCAAACATTACGTGCACTTCTCTGTAGTGTTACCTAGTTTATACTATTTTGAGGCTTATAATGCTACGTTTGTTGTGGCTGTCACAATCGCGGTGCTTCTTCCCAGTCTGGACACTTCTAGAAGGGAACGGCCTTGCCAGGAATCTGGGTGGGAGCTGGAACCCTCCTCCTGCACTTCAGGATGGTGTCAGATAGCCACTTCCTTTTTGTCCTGGGCATCTCCATGAATATTGTTATACCTGTAAGGCAAACCACCTGTTCTGTCCTTGACCAAGAAACACAGCTATGTGTTTTTGCATTGGTGCAAAGTTGTTAAGTGCTAGTAGTGCTCTGTTGCCCAAACTGTTCGCAGTGATAGGCAGTGTAGTGGAACAGTCCTGCTCTTGCCTGCAGGCCCACCTTCCTGCTAAGGTTTTCTGAACACCTGGAGAGGCTTTTCTCTCTCTGGTAATCCGCTGCCACCATCTGACCTCAGTACGAATTACCCACTGGGAGGTCAGGACTCCCAGCTTCCCTTCCAAGTTCTGAGGCCTTGCCTCGGTGTCTCCTGCTGCCCAACACCTGGTCACCATGGGAACAGTTTACTGCCTTGTGCGCTCCTGGAGGAATAGCTGCTTGCCAACTGACTACCTTCCTCTGGCATGCCTTTCCAAGACAGTGGAGGTCTATGTGGTACAGAAAACCACTACCAGCATCAAAAGTTATAAAGGATTTATTAATAAGAAAATGTTCACAATCATACTTTTAACACAGCACCAAACTGAGCAAGGGATTCAAAAGGAATGGGTAAAACACAACTCCTCTGTCCCCCTGTCTATACATTCCCTATCAGATGTTAAAATATAAGACAGGCACCTTAGCTTAGAATGTTATCAATCTCTACAGAGTTACCATTACCTTGCAGCTTCTTCCAGCTGTCTAGGCCAGCACATGGTAATGGCTGCCTCTTTCAGACGTCAGTTAAGAGTTCTGTCTGCTCTGATGGATTCAGCACCAAAAGAAACCTTCCTCCTTGCTTCTAGGAGTTTTATCTTCTCCCTTTCCCCTCCCACTGACTCAGGCCAGGTCAAGGAAGCTTTTCCTGAAGTCTCCAGAAATTTTTTCTTGAAGTCTTTCTAGTCTTAATTCAATCAAATCTCTGTTCCCTGCTATGGGGGGGGGGGAGGGGGAGAGACTGGACCATCCTATTGTCTCTAGCTAAATCTGTTAGCATTCCTTAAGAGGTAGCTGAGGTGAGGCTGGAAAGCCATTGAACTGACTTCCCCCTTCCTGCCTGTTCTCTGCCCAGAGAGAAAAACTTTAAAAACCTCCTGGTCAGACCTCTACTCCAAAAATGCATTTCTTCACAGGTAGTTTGAGAAGGGATATGGCATGGAAAGGGTGCAGGAGTGGTGATCATAGATGTTAGGAACCCATCATCGTCTTGTTCCCCCCAAAAGCAAAGTGTTAACTCAAAATGTTGTGAGTAGATGAATCGGCTCAGAGGACAAGCAGCATCACATACTTCATAGACCTCTACTCCCCGAAGATGAGCATCAACAAGGTAACAAATAATAACCAGATAAGGCGTGTCCACAAGAAGACACCCTTCCCCAGAACAAAGGGAACTAGAATTTCAGGCACGTGGGATGGTGTTGGTATAAGCAACACTAGAAAGGCACAAAGCCAACATGCTGATAGTTGTCTTTGTTCCAACCAAAGGAGCCTGTAGACACAGCAAGGGATGAGATTGCCCCTACATATGACTTTGCACTGGCTGAAAGGTTGTTCTTTGCGCCTCAGCAATGCCATCTGCATCATAGCTAGTGGCAATACAGTCAGTGTTACAAATGGATCAGATTAACAATAGTAAAATAGCTTTAATGTGTTTAATCTGTTTTAACATCAATAACGTTCTGAGTTCCTCAAGCTGATGTAAGAACTAATTGTTCTTTAAAAGAAAAAGGATATCAGATTTGTATTTTTTTTTATTTGCCTTCAGCACCGCTGCTATGACATTTAGTTACATGCATTTAAATATTCTTTCATTTTAACATTTGTTAGGGCTTTATGTATCGGTGATGTCTAACAAACAGGTTGTTCCAGGTGGGTAGCCATGCTGGTCTGAAGCAGTAGAACAAATGTTGAGTCCAGTGGCACCTTTAAGACCAACAAAGGTTTATTCAAGGTGTGAGCTTTTGTGTGCCGCTGGACTCTAAATTTGTTCTAACCCGCTGCTATGACGTTTAGTTACATGCATTTAAATATTCTTTCATTTTAACATTTGTTAGGGCTTTATGTATCGGTGATGTCTAACAAACAGGTTGTTCCAGGTGGACAGCCGTGCTGGTCTGAAGCAGTAGAACAAATTTTGAGTCCAGTGGCACCTTTAAGAGCAACAAAGGTTTATTCAAGGTGTGAGCTTTTGTGTGCCGCTGGACTCTAAATTTGTTCTAACGTGATTTGCTTCTGTTACCTTTTACTGATGTATGTGTTTCTTACTGTTGTTCAACTCCAAGGATTGTTCTGTTAAATTTCATCCCATTTCTCTTGCTTCCATCCTTAAAGGCATCGATCTAAATAACTTCCTTCTCCTAATCTGCATTGACAATGCAAAACTTGACTTGCAGCCAGATTTGCAACATTTATATTGGTGGAAGTGCTGGCTGTGATTCTCCATCTAGTAGTATTCATATCTCCTTTTAGGATCTCTTCTTGTTTTCCTCGTTTTGTTTCCACTGGAATGAGAAGAAGAAGAGATGGGATTTATACTCCACCCTCCACTTCCCATGGGAGTCTCAGAGTGGCTTCAAGCTCCTTTCCCTTCCCCTCCCCACAACAGGCACCCTGTGAGGTAGGTGGGGCTGAGAGAGCTCTGACAGAAACTGCTCCTTTTCAAGAACAGCTCTTATCAGAACTATGGCTTGCCCAAGGTCATCCAGCCTGGTGCAAGTGGAGGAGTGGGGAATCAAACCTGGTTCTCCCAGATTAGAGGCCACGCACTTAACCACTACACCAAACTGACTCACATCAGTAGTGCCCACAGACATTAATTTGTTGTCTTTCTTTTGGTTACCTGTATTACTGTCATACCAGTTCACCCATAGTGCTAGTACTGGTTGCAGTATTTAGCTATGAGCTCCAAATTCTGTGATTTTTCTACTCTTGCATGGACTTGCAGAATACACAGAGACTTGATTATACTGCCCTCTTTATTAGGAATTGATTTATTTATTTAGATGTTTATACTCTGCTTTCCCCCCCTTTGGGAACCCAAAGTGGCTTACAATCATTCTTGCCTCCTTTATTTTATCCTCACAACAGTCCTGTGAAGTAGGTGAAAGCCAGTGTAGTGCAGTGATTAGATTGTTGGACTAGGATCTTGGAGTACCATGTTCGAATCCGCACCTTGTCATGGAAGCTTGCAGGGTGGCCTTGGGCTAGTCACTCACTCTCAGCCTCACACTCTCATGGTTGTAGATCAAGATGAGTAGCCCTGTTAGTCTCTCTGTCGGTAGCAGTACAAAAGAGTCCAGTAGCACCTTTAAGACAGAACCCGAATTCCTCAGAATTTGAAGAAGTGAGCAGTGACTCACGAAAGCTCATCCCCTGCCACAAATTTTGTTAGTCTTTAAGGTGCTACTGGGCTCTTGCTCTTCTCTACTGTAACTCACATGGTTGTTGTGAAGATGAAACGGAGGAAGGGAGAATGATGTAAGTCGCTTTGGGTCTCAGTTGGAGATAATGGTGGGGTTTAAATGAGGTAAATAATAAATAGGTGTAGAGTGTGTGACTGGTCCAGTATCACCCACAGAGCTTCCAGGGCTGATGGGGATTTGATCCTGGGTTTCCCAGATCCTTACAGTATCCACAAAAAAATAAGATTATTGAAATATTGAAAATTGCACTTGGCAGAGAGTACTCATAAGCTATAGTGTTTCAAACGAGAGCAAAAAGATTTTTGAAAGCTTGACTTTTCTGTTTGAATGGCATTTTGAGTGATGAGAAAAGTTCTGACAAAATGTTTACTTGATTTAACAACATGTTTACCTCTTTTTCATTTCCTAGAACATGAAGTGTCAAGTAGATTAAAAGAGTGACTCCCAAACATACAGAAAGCAAACTTGTTTTTGTATTTTGTGTTAAAGCTAGATCTGTGTGAAGCCTTGTGTATGCGCAGGGCTTCTACAGAGATTGTTGCTTTACAAGTGGCTGGAGGCATGGGTGTTAAAAGGTACGTTACCAGCTAAAAAGGTACAGCCTTTAGAAAGAGAGTTGGCAGTTTCAGGCACTTTCAGAAGTTATTAGACGGCCTGTTTGAAAGACACTGCGAGAGCAGTTTCAGCTTCTGCTGGTTATATGAAAGAAAGGCGTTTCGGAAGGCTTTAATGACCTTGGGGGCTTATTCAAACAGAAACTATTGCTTGTTATTTAAGCCAAATCATGTGAAATGGCTACAGTGATTTCTTTAATCGTCTTTCTTAGTAAGCAAACAATTCAAAGTGACAATCGAACCAGTCTCTCCGAAAGAAGTCCTCCAGATCCATGTCCCTGAGGTGCTGGATAGGAATGACGGATCCTTTCTTATGCGATATCGGATGCATGGAAGTGTCAAGGAAGGGCTAAAGGTGGAGATACTTTATAATGATGTGCATGTAGCACAGTCCCCCTATATTCTGAAGGGTAAGATACTTTTTTTCTCCTCCAAGTTTTAGAGTTGGCTGGTTAATACTAAAAAATCCTTTAAATCCATAGCTCACAGTCTTCAAAAGAAAAGTAGCTTTTTTGGAGGAGCATGCTTTATGGTTTTTGTAGTTGTAGACAAGGGTCATTCCGTAGAAAAAAAGGTGCAGGAGCTCATTAGCATAACCTATTAGCATAACTTATTTGCATATGCTACACCCCCTGGCATCAGATGGAAGGGAAGGTGGTTTAAAGGTGAGCCAGCACCTTAGATGGGCTTCTGGGAGCAGGGGGTGGGGCTTTGTCATGTGCCCGCCCCCTGGGCTCCTCACTCCCGGAGCGCCGCTCCTCTGCGCTCCGGCTCCAACCGACCCCTGGTTGTAGATAAGCAAAGAAGATTGTCTTGTTGAGTCACAGCTGACTCATGCTGACCCCAGCCATGGGGTATTCAAAGCAGGAGTCGAGCAGAGGTGGTTTGCAATTAACTTCCTCCATGTAGCAACCCCAGTCTTCCTTGGTGGTTTACCATCCAAGTGCTGATCATTGGGTGATCCTTTTGGATAAACAAGTTGGGTCTTAATCTGAGAAGTATAAAGCCACCTATGTGTGTTGTTTCTTATTGTACCAAATAGTGAATACAATAGGATACCTTACACATCTAAATGTTTGAGATGGGACTACAGGTATTGGACTTAGTATACTGTTTTCCTTATCTTGAAGTTGGTAATTCATTGATTACAACTCAACAGCTTGGTGGTCAGATAATATTATGAGGACAACAATAAAGAACTGAAAGGATGTTGCTGAGTATTAAAGAATCCAGAGTCCAGCCCCTCTCAAAGCTTTACAAAGCACCTTGTCCAGCCCTGTGGGGAGTTGGCCTTATCTTGCCAAAAAGCAAATGAAATTGATGTAAGGCAAAACTCTGGATTCCAAGAGTCTAGAGCTGGAATTGGTCCATTATCTCCCCCCTCTTAGCATCTAATTTAATGCAGTGTGTGATGTGATGTCATTATGCTGTGTACTGGTCTGCCCTCCATAGATGCCTAAAATGGTGGGGCAATACATGGAATGATGGCTGCAGGTTTCACGTTTTGATAAACTAGCATGGGGGGAGGTGCAGAGGAGAAGCAGAAGTTTCATTTCTCTTGCAGTGTCTGGTCCACCCTCCCCATGCTCCCAGATACTAGTGATGATTGCTTGGGTACGTTTCTGCTGCTTTGGTTACAACACAAGGCCAGCAGGAGAAACAAAGCCATGGTTTAATTAAATGGTTGCAAGGCAGAAACTCACTGGAGAAAGTTGCTGGGAGGGGTGTGTTGCTCCAAACTTAGGAGTGTGTGTGAAAGACACCTCTGCTGGACTGGGGAGCAAAGGAACCATACTCCTACTGTTATTATCAGGCAACCACACAGTGCAATCAGAATGGTAGGCTGCTACTTACCTGAGGAAGTTCTTGGCTCCGTGAAGTCATAGGTCACATAGGTATTTGGCCTGGGTCAAAGAATTACCCAATGGACAAAATTTCAGTCTATCAGTTGACTGGCATCCCAGCCCTATATCCCTCTCATGATCTTAAGGCATGGATATCACATTTTGATTACTTGGAATTAGTATAACTATGGCTGTTAAGTGACCTGAAGTTTTACCTGGTAAATTATTTCTTGACTACCAAAGACTACACTAGCAGGTGGAGAAAATAACTCAGCTCCTGCAGGTCACAGTCGTGCCTTTATCCCAGGTGAACTATATTTGTAGTGCTTTATTCTTTTCAGGACCTGTTTATCATGAATATTGTAACTGCCCCAAAGATGCTACGGCTTGGGAGAGAAGTCTTTCATGTCCATCAGAGGAACCACAGGTCACAAAGGACTTCAGTGCATTTCTTAGTATCGATCTTCAGCTGATGTTTAATGAAGTCCCGCCAAGGTTTGGCCAAAGAACGGGAGCCATTGTTCATTACACTATCCTTGGTAATCACATCTATCGCCGTTCCTTGGGGAAGTACACAGACTTCAGAATATTCTCTGATGAAATTTTGCTATCATTGGCAAGAAAGGTATACTTATATAGCTGCTCACTCCTTCACAGCTCTGTCATTGTCACTTTATTTAATAGCCAAGGGTTTGTCCCCCATGTGGATAGCCAAATCCATATAATGGGGGCCAGCCAGTTACAATTCAGGGTTCTGCAACCCCAGGGGAACATCTGCCAATTCAGATAGAAAAGCAAAGTGTGATTTCTCCCAAACAAGAAGAAGTCATTGAGTCTGAGCATGTGAGGGGATTGGGTAGTGGTGGTGCATAAGCAGAAGGCTTGTTTTCAGTCTTCCAGACCATGGAAACTTTCCATCTGAACAGACCAAGTGATGGAATACACAGTTGCAGTTTCAGAGAAATTGTTTATTCCATGCAGGGAGCTTCAGGGGCCCGAGGGGAATGAAATGGCCTTCATGAACAGGGAGATAAAGCACAAGAGCAAGGCCGATGGTCTCTCTGTTTATGGAGAAAATAAACCATCAGGCTTCACCCTTAGATAAGAAGCAGTTTTTTACATGGCTTCTGACGTTCTGTCATTTCAGACTTTCCCTGTGCTCTGGGCTGTTTGGTATTTAAATCTTTTTATTTTTATTCTTTTTTGTTTCTGTTTTGTGCAGTTTTCTGTTTACCAATGTATTGTATTGCTTTCACTGCTTTCCTGAAAGGTAGGTGCATGAGAAGGCAGTTCAGCACTCATACATTCCTTCCCCTTCAGACTGTGTTTTATTAACCTTCTCCAAAAACCTTAAACCTCTTTTTCTGCCCAGATTCAAACCTGCCTCTCTTAGTCTCAGATCCAGGCTCAAATACGGCTTATAGCTGTGCAACTCAAACAGCTGGGTGTGAATGTCCAAGGAGTGGTTCTTATGGGATCTTCTAGGCCAGTCTTCCCTCTAACATGCCCCAATAAGATCCATCAGAACTGCATGGGGAAGGAGAGTACATTGGAAGTGCATCCAGATGTGGATGCCATAAAAAAATCTGCATAACCTTAGTGGAATGCACACTGGGAATGTGTTTTCAAATGCATATCCTGATGTAGGTGGAGGGATAGATATCAAATGCACCTTCAGTTGAAAGCAGCGTGTACTCAGATACTCATTTAGATGTGCATCTTATTTGGGCTTCCGGTTCCTGATCCAGCAAGTGATTACAGGCGCTCCTGCGCACGTTGAATAATGTACTTTCAATAAACTTTCAATGCACTTTAATTATCATTTGCAAGTGGACTTTGCCATGTCACACAGTAAAATCCAGTTGCAAAGTGGACTGAATGTGCATTATTCACTGTGTATGAAAGTTGTCATCCATGTGTTGGAAGGCTACTTCCGCTTGTCAGTCTTGGTGGAATCAGACAAGAGAGCATGTGCGGGTGGGGTAGGGGTGGAGAGAGATCAGGGGAAGGATGACAGTGGCTTTCTCTTTACCCTACTTATTGGGGGGTGGGGAGGTGGAACAAAAGAAAAATACATTAACTGCAAAAAAGAGTAGGTCCCTGCTTGAAAGAATAAATCCTAATTGGTGTTTGTACATGCAAATCAGTTTGATGGCCCATGAAATTAACATTTGTTGTTAGGGACAAAGCTTTGTATAATAGGGCAGCATGGCCTATGGCTGTTTGTTTGCTTAGGTTCATCTCCCCGACATGGAATTTTATCTTAATGTTGGGGACTGGCCAGTTGAATATCGGAAAGCAGACGACAGCCCCGGACCTCTGCCTATCTTTTCTTGGTGTGGCTCTGTGGATTCGGCAGATATAGTACTTCCAACCTATGATGTCACCCACTCCACCCTTGAAACTCTCCGTGGCGTCACAAATGACCTCCTGTCTATTCAAGGGAACACAGGTAAAGGGTGACTGTGCACTTCTGCAAGTGGAAGGGAAACAGCGTTAATCGGTGGAGGGCCATTTGTACAAACTAGTCTGTGTTAAGAAAGAAAATGCTGGTGCCAAAGTTGTTCTCTCTGGATGACAAGCATTCATCTTTGAGCTTGAGATGTTAGTTTATTAGGAAATGGCACTAAGGTATTAATAGCAGAACAACAGAAATGTTAACATACCTTAACATTGTAAAAATATTATAATGGTTTATATTGTTTTAAGGCAATCTGAAGAAAAAAACAACAGAATAACCTTAATGCAGGGGCCATCACCAATAAGACCGCAATCACAAACCCGTTCTTCTGCCACAGTCCTAGGAGTCTCTCATTTTCACATGTTGCATTAGTTCACTTAACCCAGCTGTGCACACTTCGAGGGCTGCTGCAGTGATTGTAGAGGTACCCTTAGCCACTAAGAAGGCCAGCTGTGGCATGGAGCTTTAGTTCAGCTTTTCCTCCTCTCTTCTTAAAATTCTGTGCAACATATTCTATTGTAATTTGTTAGAGTCAGCTGGTGTGGTGGTTTTGTACACAGAAGGGCAACATAGAAATGTTTGACTAAATACTTGGGTGAGGCAAAGAATTTCTGCAGCTCCCTGCTGGAATTGGACAATGCATGGTGATTTGCAAATCTAGCTTCAGCATTTAAGGCAGGGGAGCAGTGTTCCCTCTAAGCTGAGTTAGTGTGAACTAACTCACAGTTTTTTAGCCTGCAGCTCACACATTTTTGTCTTCGCTCAGGAAGGATGGCTCCAGAGCAAACTAATTGATGCAGCAGCCAAATCGCTCGCTCACAACTTCAATGCCAGTAGCTCACGGAGTAGAATTTTTGCTCACAAGACTCCACAGCTTAGAGGGAGCATTGCAGGGGAGATATATTTACAAGCCCTAAAACAGTGGCATTTCCCTTCCATTTGACACCCAAAATGCATGCTAGGCCCTCCTTTCTGAGACCATCACTTTGACCTGGACATGCTTTCAGGACAGCACACAGAGACAAAATGACAGGGGAATGAGAAGGGGTTTCTGTCTCTTTCTCCCTGTTTGCGGAGTGCCTCTTGGTCTCTGAACCTCTGCTTTGTACTTGAATAGGGATGTCAGTTTGCATTCAGAGTTCTCTCCCACTGTCCTTAACACATTGTTCTTTCTAATGTGAGCTTAAATGCAAAAAAGTGCTTTTGTTCCTAACACATGCGTTACTTGTTCAGTGGCTGTGTGTATGCGTGTTTCATTTTAATTAAATATCTAATAATTCCAGGCCCTGTGTGGGAAAACAAAACCGAACGGGGTTTTTTCAGAGGTCGAGACAGCCGAGAAGAACGGCTGTGGCTGGCCCAGCTCTCCAAGGAAAACCCAGAACTGCTGGATGCTGGAATAACAAGTTACTTCTTCTTCAGAGAAAAGGAGAGGGAGCTGGGAAAGGCTCCATTGATGGGGTTCTTTGACTTCTTTAAGGTATGCCAGTAGTCATAGTTGGGGCCCATTGACACCAGGAGGAGACACACATTTCCTTGTTTTGCTTTGCTTTGACACCTGCCCGAGAGTTACTTTGAATGGTACGAAGTTCTGGCATGGAACACAATTAAGTTTAAGGCTTAATGTGTATATTTCACCCATGCGTATTGTGTTGTGTGTACGGGCAATAACAACTGTGGCCTCTTCATTCGTTTCCAGTGCACCCAAATGCACACACATGACCATCTTAACCAGCATGCAAATATAGGTTTATATTCAGTTTCCTACGTAGGAAAATACTTCCTTCTTTGCTGGAATTTCGTAACATAAAAAGTAGTCTCAGGCTTCACTACAAGCTGAGAGCCAAAGGATCCAACCCACATACTCCAAGCACTTCCGTGCCAACACTGGTACTTCCTAGATTTCCTGTTCTGGTTATGCTTCCTCATGTTGCATCAGCAGCTACACCTAAAGAGTTTCAGGTGCCACCTGTCAGGTGGGACTTGTGTGTTATGGTTCAAAGGGAGACCCACAAACCCTCACTGTGCATGCTAAAATTCCCTAAGTCAGGGGTCCCCCAACCTATTTGAGCCTGTGTACACCTTTGGAATTCTGACACAGGGCAGTGGGCACAGCCACAAAATAGTTGCTCCAGGAGGCGGAGCCATATGTAAAATGGCTGCCGTAGCTTCCCTTCAGTTACATGGTGAAGATCCTTGTACTAGTTTGGTGTAATGGTTAAGTGCATGGACTCTAATCTGGGAGAACCGGATTTGATTCCCCACTCCTCCACTTGCAGCTGCTGGATGACCTTGGGCAAGCCATAATTCTGTCAGAGCTATTCTCTCAAGAACAGTTCTGGAAAGAGCTCTCTCAGACCCACCTACCTCACAGTGAAGGGTGAGGTATAAATCCAATCTCCTCTTCCTCTTCTTCTTCTTCTATAGCGGCAGCTGCTACCAAAGCAAAGTTTTTAAAAAGCTGCAAAGCCAATCAAATCTCCAGTGACCACTCAAAAGTCTTGCTAGGCAAAGCCCCACCTGGGCCTCCTCAGTTTCTAAAAACAGTTGGCAGGCACCAGGAAAGAAGAAGAGGAGGAGATTGAATTTATACTCCGCCCTTCACTCGGAGTCTCAGAGTAGCTTACAAACTCCTTTCCCTTCCCCTCCCCACAACAGACAGGTGGGTGGGGCTGAGAGAGCTCTTTCAAGAACTGCCCTTTCAAGGCCAGCTCTGACAGAACTATGGCTTGCCCAAGGTCATCCAGCAGTTGCGAGTGGAGAAGTGGGGAATTAAACCCGGTTCTCCCAGATTAGAGTCCGCACACTTAACCACTACTCCAAACTGGTGTCAGCGGGCACAGGTGCACCCACGGGCTCAGCATTGGGGACCGCTGCCCTAAGTAGAGTTTTGGGGGCCCAGCCGTAGGCTGAAAAGTGACCAGGAAACAAGCATGCTTTTAATTGTTTGCACATTTCTGAAACCTTTTGGGGGTCAGGGTCTGGTTTTGAGCCTCAACATTGTTCATGCTCCTTTTCTCCTTCTCATTTCTCTTTGTACCAGTACAAGTATCAGGTGAGCGTAGATGGCACAGTGGCAGCCTATCGGTTCCCCTACCTCCTCCTGGGCAACAGCCTTGTGATGAAGCAGGATTCACAGTACTATGAACACTTCTACACAGAGCTGAAGCAATGGCGTCATTATGTTCCGGTGAAAAGGAACCTGGAAGACTTGTTAGAAAAAATAAAATGGGCCAAGGTAACCATCGTTGCTAGCAGAAGAAAAGATGAACTGTAAAAATAGGAGCATCTGGAGTGGGGTCCCAGCTCAGCAGTAGAACATCTGCTTGAGAGCCAGTTTGATGGAGCGTAGACTCTAATCTGGGAGAACCGGGTTTGATTCCCCACTCCTCCACATGCAGCTGCTGTTGTGACCTTGGGTCAGTCACAAGTTCTCTCAGAGCTGTTCTCTCAAGGGCAGTCCTTGAAAGAGCTCTCTCAGCCCCACCTACCTCACAGGGTGTCTGTTGTTGGGAGGGGAGGGAAAAGGAGATTGTAAGCTGCTGTGAGACTCCTTCGGGTAGTGAAGGGTGGGGTATAAATCCAATCTCCTCCTCCTTTTCCTCGGCATGCAGAAGGTCCTAATTGCAGTCACCGGTCTCTCCAGTTAAAAGGATTAGGGAGTAGGTGATGCAAAAGAGTTTGACTTGGGGACCCTGGAGAGCTGCTGCCAGTCAGAGGAGATAACACTGACCTCTTTAAACCCGTTCACGTGAGCCTTTCCTGTTTTGTTACTAGATGTAGATTGCTTAGAGGCACCCATCAGCATAAATGGCTCTTCCCTCCACCCACCACCACGGAAAGGGAAAAGAACTGAAATGTTAAAAGGCCCGTCTTTCGAGGTCACAAGCAGGATCGGAACCCAGCTGCCCTGCCCTTCCTTCCTCTCTTCCCAGAATGGCAGGCCCTGGAAGGGAGGAAACCAGACTGCCAGCTGGGATAGAGGCTTTCACTATCCCGTCTCCCTTCTCTGCTCAGAATAAGGGAAGCAGGACATTGCCGGCCAGCCTTGTCTCTGCGTTCTGTGGCTGCAGCCTGAATCACGCATGTGACGGCTGGGAAATTGTAACTGGAAGCCACTGCAGAGCTTGCTGGTGCTTTTGTTGCTTGGTTTGTTTTGTTTTGCCTTGCTATCAACTAACAGCTGATTTGGAGCTGCGGTGGCTCAAGTGGTTAAGACGCTGAACTGCAGGCAAATCATAACCAGGCACAAGAGGAGAAACTAAGCATTTGTGAATTAAGGGTTTAGCATGACAGAACTTACTTTGCTTTCATGATCTGGGATCCTCTAAAGCTTATTTAGCAAATTATGTGCTCTTTTCAACTAACTGGGCTTAGAAGGTTGTAACTTTTTTGGGGACTGCAGTGTAAATGACAAAGATTTAATCTTGTACAGAAGCGGGTAGTCTCTAAACCACCAACACTATATTGTTATTGTTATCATTATTTTGATTTTTGAATCACCCATCCCTGCTAGGTAAAGGTTCCCTTGCTCAAAAGCCAGTCAAATCCGACTCTAGGGTTGCGGTGCTCATCTCCGTTTCAAAGCCGAAGAGCCAGCGCTGTCCGAAGACATCTCCGTGTTCATGTGGCTGGCATGACTAAACACCAAGGCGCACACAACGTTGTTACCTTCCCACCGAAGTGGTCCCCCTCCTTTACTCCCCCAGGGAGCTACCCAGTTTGATTTAGGAGCTTTCTATTTCATTAAGCAAAGTTCTCTGAAATTCAAACAATGTTGTGGTGTGTATTAGGCCGTGAGAGAGCATCCTGGCCAAGGCCCATTCAGTGAGCACCTGGGCTCAGAGATGGTTAGACTCTTACATTTCCATGTTGAGTACTTTATTTATAAAATGTGTATCCTGTTCTGCCCTTACAAGGGCCACCAAGGCTCCTTATCAACACTGAATGCTGGTCCACACTGAGATCCATCACCTTGGTAAAAATACCATGTGGAAAGGGTTGGTGGGTATTTTTCAGACAAAGTGATATGTATGCAGTGCTGAGCTTCATCCTCTATGTACTCAGTTCTTTCTCAGCAAAGAGTGTGAGAACTGCACTGTTAGTAGTCTCATTGTACCCACTACAACGTACTGGCTCTTTCAGCACTATGTGAGTGGTTTGCAGCCAGCATTTTTTACTTTTTAACTAAGCACTGCCTTCAAGAACAGACAATATTAAAACTAAGGGATGCGGATTCCACAGCCAAAATTATACTCCACATTGTACACTTAAAGTGTATGAATTAATGTTGTTGTTTTGCACATAACATGTGCATGCTTAAATCCCATTGATTTTTAAATCCTCATAACCAATGTTCCCTCTAAGCTACGGAGTCTTGTGAGCAAAACCTCTACTTTGTGAGCTACTGGCACTAAAGTGAGCAAGTGATTTGGCTACTGCATAAATTAGTTTGCTCTGGAGCCATATTTCCTGAGCTAAGACAAAAATGTGTGAGCCGGAGGCTAAAAAACTGTGAGCTAGCTCACACTAACTCAGCTTAGAGGGAACACTGCTCATAACCAGGCACAAGAGGAGAAACTAAGCATTTGTGAATTCAGGGTTTAGCATGACAGAACTTACTTTGCTTTCATGATCTGGGATCCTCTCTAAAGCTTATTTACCTTATTTAGCAAATTATGTGCTCTTTTCAACTAACTGGGCTTAGAAGGTTGTAACTTTTTTGGGGACTGCAGTGTAAATGACAAAGATTTAATCTTGTACAGAAGCGGGTAGTCTCTAAACCACCAACACTATATTGTTATTGTTATCATTATTTTGATTTTTGAATCACCCATCCCTGCTAGGTAAAGGTTCCCTTGCTCAAAAGCCGCATTTGTGAATTCAGGGTTTAGCATGACAGAACTTACTTTGCTTTCATGATCTGGGATCCTCTCTAAAGCTTATTTACCTTATTTAGCAAATTATGTGCTCTTTTCAACTAACTGGGATTAGAAGGTTGTAACTTTTTTGGGGACTGCAGTGTAAATGACAAAGCTTTCATCTTGTACAGAACCGGGTAGTCTCTAAACCACCAACACTATATTGTTATTGTTATCATTATTTTGATTTTTGAATCACCCATCCCCGCTAGGTAAAGGTTCCCTTGCTCGAAAGCCAGTCGAATCCGACTCTAGGGTTGCGGTGCTCATCTCTGTTTCAAAGCCGAGGAGCCAGCGCTGTCCGAAGACGTTTCCGTGGTCATGTGGCCGGCATGACTAAACACCAAGGCGCACGGAACGCTGTTACCTTCCCACCGAAGTGGTGCCTATTTATCTACTTGCAATTTCTTGCTTTCGAACTGCTAGGTTGACAGGAGCTGGAACTAGAGATGGGAGCTCACTCCATCATGCGGCACCCGGGTCTCGAACTGCTGAACTACCGACCTTCCACAGCCTGCAGTTCAGCATCTTAATTACCTGAGCCACCGCAGGTTGGCTACTGCAGGATAAAAACTCTACAATAAAAGTACAGCAGCACCAGTAAATAAAGTTAAACTCCAGGTGATGAGCTAAAATCACTTCCCATTCTAGACTGCCCAGCTACCTTGTGGTTAGGGGAGGAAGAGGGATGACTGACCTGGAGAGCAAAAGAGGGTTCCAGCTAGAGTGAAAACCATTGCTGCCCTTGACCCAAATACCTGGCGGAACGTCTCTGCCTTACAGGCCCCGTGGAATTGCATGAGATCCCATAGGGCCCTGGGGGTATTGGGCAAAAAGTTCCACCTGGCTGAGGACAGCAGGACATCTTTGGACCAGGGGATCACCATCTGATTGCTACCCAAAGAGCATAACGCTGTCTTGGGAACGTAGCAGAGGAGACGGTCCCGCAGATACGTTGGTCCCTGACCGCTCAAGCCCTTAAAAGTCAGCACCAGAACCTTGAATTTGACTTGGAACTCTACTGGAAGTTAGTGCAGCTGGTGCAGCACAGGTTGTATGTATGCTGTCCATGATGTTCTCGGTTTAAAAACTGAGATTAATAGAAAGAGGCATTTATAGTTATTTTAACAATTGTTCCCGCTCTAGAAATGGTGAAATAAATAAATAAAATAATAGAAGTCATAATCTAGATAAATCACTGAAAATTTTGGAACTTGGAACTAGTTCAGTACAAATACACCCAACACTACAACTCCTAAAACATATTTCCTTATATGAACAAGGATGTGTCTCTTTGTAACCTTAAGGAAACCACAACCCTTGGCACATAAATAGGTAATGATAGCATGGGTGAGAGAAAACAATAACAGCTCTGTGTTCAGAGCAACCAGATCTGTGTGGGAGGTGTCAGACATGCAGTTTGGAGAAAAAAGGATGAAGCTGACTTTCCAAAAACAATATGAAGTTCCCCTCCTTAATTGTACCAAATCGCTACTGATCGCAGTGTGGGCTGCTAAAGACTGCTGGGGGGAAGTATGAAAAGACTGGAAATAAATATTGCAGGCTCTTGTGATGTACATACTTGCTCAGTATCATTGCAGTGTTCAGTAGCAGCACATAATATTCCTGCATATGCTGAAAAATCCTAGTATCCCCTCTCTCTGAGTGCAGTCATACCACAGGGGAACAGAGTGACCCACCCAACAGTCAATTATATGATGCTCCTTTGTTTTCTTTCCCATTTCTCAGGAAAATGATGAGGAGGTCAGAAAAATAGCTAAGGAAGGGCAGGCAGCGGCAAGAGTATTACTGCAGCCCCACCGGTTTTATTGCTACTATTTCAAAGTCTTCCAGGTTAGTCTAACTTCCAAGTTACTCTAACTTTTACTGTTTTACTTTCTCCCTTCCATAGACCCGGGCTATTCCAATCTTTAACAGTATCCAAGGGCTGAAAAGTCTGGCAAATCTTGGTTCCCTGTAGCTGAATGTCAGACTATAACTTGCTAATGGTCATTAAGAACATAAAAATACCAAAGTCCATCTTGGCCAACATCCTGTTATTTGACAGTGACTCACCAGAGGCCCCAGGAGACCAAAGCCAGAGGTAATAGCCTTCCCTTATTGTTCTGCCCCCCCCCCAACTGATATTGTGGTACCGTATGATGATTCTAAATATGGAAGTTCCGTTTAGCCATCATGGCTAACTGCCTTTGATAGACCTTTCCTCCACTAATTTGCCTAATCCCTCTTTAATCTGCTAGCCACTACCACCTCTTGTGGTAATGAATTCCAAAATCATGTAGGTTTCTTTCTATATATGACTTAGCCCTGCACAGCTATGGTGTGATGCAGTTTGACTTTCCTTTCCCTGTATAAACACTAGATTGGAAAGAGGGAGAGGTGAACATCACCATGTTTTTAAAAACAAAGCATAAAGAAAACCAGAGCATCAGGGAGAGGAGTACACGTTCCCTGACATGGTATTTTTCTCTGTGCAGGAAGTTGTTTTTTTTAAATGGGAGGACAGCCCCCCAAATTACCAGGTATAGAATTTGTAGAACATCTAAACAAAATTAATTGAAGAGCTCTAAATACATAGTTCTGAATACAACTCATCATCTTTGAAAATGAATATACTTGGCATCCGTTTGACATGAGACCAGACCCAAATCCAGAATTCTTGCAAGAAAGCCACAGTCTCTTAAATTTGCGTATGTGTATGAGAGAGAACGCAAGCAACATGCTGCTTCCAATCTGAGTGTGTGTCGCAGGATATTGTTAGACTGCACTGAGAACTTTGCTTAGAAAATATGATCAGAAAGCTTCAGGTGTGTGTTAATCCATTTGGGGTTCAGTCAGTATTATAAAGAAAGCACATTAAGGGTTATTCCTTACATCTTTACAACAATGGCTAGAGCGAAGGGAAGCAGGCTTACTGTTTTGAAGAGCCTACTGCTGTTTCAGTTCCTTTAAACACGGTTTACATGTTTTAGAAATATGCTGAACGCCAAGTTGGCAAACCTGAAATACGGGATGGAATGGAATCTGTGCCTCAGCCAGATGACAGGACTTCAGTCTGCGACTGCTACAGGGGAAAGCCTTCGAGGGACGAGCTATAAGTCACTCTGCCAAATGGGAATCTAATCGAATGTTATCTGTTGCAAGAGTGACGCAAGGCATCTGGTGCAATTCAAGCTGTGAAAGCTGAGGCATATTTAGACACCTTTCTCTTCTTTTCCCCTTCACCATGTTGGTTCATGTGCCTTTTTAAATTGGAACTGGGAATCTGTAACAGTGTGTTCTTATTCAAACCATGTTCTGAGCTCTCCTGTATTTATGTACAGTTTGTATGACTGCAGTCTGCTGTAGTAATATTTAGCAGGCATTCAGTCAGAGCTTCACATAACATTTATCTCGAAGGCCCTTACAAATAGTCCTTCACTGTAGGTCAGAGGGTGGGGTAGAAATCTGAGGAATAAGTAAAATAAATAATCTGCTTAGAAGAGGTGAGTTCATGGTGAAGATGCAGGTTGAACTGGGGCCTTAAGTAGCCCAGGTTCTTTGCAATGACACCAGCTTTGGCCATATAGATGCTGAATTCATTGTAACTGCCCACATAAATTATTGTCTAGTGTTTAAAACATTGTTATGCTGCCTTTCCACCCAATTAGGATCCTTAAGGTAGTGCACATAAAAACATTAAAACATTTGAACAATTAACAACAATATTTACGATTATAAAATAATTCACTAAAAACACATAAACACCACCAGAATCAGGGCGAAGGGCCAATAACTGTTATTTGGGGTATGCCAAACGAAACAAAAAACTCTTCACTCACTGGTGGAAAACACCGATGGAGGAAGAGAGACAAATCTCCCTGGGCAGGGAGTTCCAAAGTTTTAGTGCCACGACTGAAAAGGCCGTTTCTTGGGTTGCTACCTTTCTAGCCACAGATGGTAGGAGCCACTAAAGCAGGGCCTCTGAAGATAAACAAATGTACAAATGCGACTCCTCACCCCATATCGATGGTTTGAAACTTAGCTAGCTGTTTGGTGGGCTGATTGTCAATTTTTTTCCATTTTTTAAAAAATACTTGCCCATTATTTTTTTAAAGCCTCCCTATTCAAATATCAACTCAGAGGTGAACTGAGGGGCCAAATTAGATACAGTGGGCAGGCATATACTCATGTCTTTGCTGTTTGTCTATGACACACGGGATTTGGAGGGACCATTTTTTCAAATAAAAAGGGGCTCGGGAGAGGGGAGCTAACGCCTCCCTCACTTAACCATCTCTTCCTCAAAGCACTTTCTCTTGCCAACCCAGAGCAGAATGAGATGAGAGCACCCTTCACCTATGCAGTGGTTTTTTTTTTAATTTAAAGAAAGAGAATGTCCTGAGATAGACAGCTATTCTAGCAATATAGAGCAGCTAGCTCCTTAGTTCCATCTCTGTGTTTTTTTCTTTACTAAATTTAGGGTTATTGAAATAATTTGGCATATTTTCCAGGCCATTCAGAATGAGGCTGTATTCTAGGTGCATTTAACATTATGCTCCATAAATGGTCTGTAGACAGGTAAAATTATAGTCTGATTGACTTAAGTATCGTGCGTGTCTAAATCTGTCGACGGGTTTAATGTTGTTATGAACACAAGCTGCATCTTGATTTCAAAACATGCGCCTACCTATGTATAAAAAGTTGCCTAACAGGATTTTTAAATTAGGTCACTATGCAAAGCACTGGATCATCTTTTGAAGTTGCGGTGTAATTAGACTCCTTTCTTCCCATGAACAGGAAATGAAAGCTGGCATAAATTTGCCATGGAATTGAACTATATAACTTATTGGGTTACTTGTTCGTTCTCAAGAGCAAAGTGATTTTCTTCTACCAAAGAAGCTTTCTAGAGGCATTCAATTGACCAAAATAATTGCTTGTTTGGTAATTTTTTAAATAGCCTCAAACTGACCCAAACATATCTGAATGGAGGCAATTTTTCTTCTAGTTGTGTTTTTCGGTCACACTGGAAAAGACGTGTTAAGCTGGAAATATTTGGTCTAAGCTTTTCCTAGAAAAACCACGTTTGTTATGTGCATGTTAAATGCATTTGGTAGGAAACTGGCCCCCATTTGGCTGGCTAATCCAAGATAATTCCACTTTCTATACATCAAACCCAAATATATATTTAAATAATTGGGTGATATTGATGCAATGCTGGATTAGGGACACAAACATGAATGTGTGAATCATCTGGGCTTTGGCAAAATCCAATTAGTGGGACTGTCTTCTTTAGAAATGCTGAAACCATGTATACGGTAGTTTTATATCCTGTGGAACATCAGACTAGGGCTTGAATAGAAAATGAACGGTGGCACAATCCAGCCAAAGTTTAGAAAACTTTGAATACTGATGTCCTCTGCATGCATCCTCTCTGAGCTTCATGTAAAGGAGGGAGGGCTTCTAATGTCCTGGCCCCACTGGTGGACCTCCTGATGGCACTGGTATTTCTGGCCACTATGTGATACAGAGTGTTGGACTGGATAGGCCTTTGGCCTGATCCAACATTGGCATCTCTTATGCTCTTATGATTAGACTGCACATTCTCATTGAATGCCAAGGTGAAGCATGTGTTTGAATCTCCCCCACTGAAATCAATGGAATTTAAAGTTGTCGGACTTTAGCTGGCTAATGTCTCATATTTATCTGATGCAATATAACATTGGCCAAATATGCATAAGCAGGAGTAGGAGACCCAGCTTCAGCAAGGAAGGTTATTTTTTAAAGTTTGTATCATTAAAAAAACACCCATTAATTTCTTTGTTCTGTAGTCAGCCGGCATTCATGATATGAATCATTTACACGCTTTATGTATTTCTTTTCACTCTTTTTATGACTGGCTGAAAGGTCTTTTGGTCTTTGTAACAAAACAACAGTTTGAGCTGCAAATCTGGCTGCTTACTTGATAATTTTATGGTTTCCAATTACTCTAATTTAAACTTTAGGGTTGCCTGAAATAAATTATTCCAGAGAATGTGTCTCCACATACTCTACGGTTTCTTTATAGCTAATCTTTCAGGTGTCTTTAAAAAGACAATGTTCTATATAAACACTAGAGCCCCTCCCTCTAATTAGGCCTGCAAAATTAGTGATACCTTCTGTCCCACCAGGTGCTCAAGAACCCTTCCAAGTAAGCAGCAGAAACAGGAATCAGGTCCCTCCTGGACTACCATCTAGAGCCCACGAGCTACATTCAGGGCGGCGAGGCACAAGCTGTGTGGGCCTGATCTAGTCAGATGCAGAAGAGGTGTATGGGAAGACAGAAGAGGAAGAGACACATTTCTCCTGACTTGCTAGCTTATGTATGTGATTCATGTTTTTATTCATATAAAATACACTCTATGCTAGTGTAAACATCTCTAGTTCTCATGAAAGCAGGTTTCGAAGTGACTCAAGAACACCGCAGGATTACCTGGACTGATTTGTTCCAGCTGAGTGAAAACTGCCCAGGCTGAACCTGCTGGGCTATAGTCTGCTTTTCTGTAGCAGTGCCAGCTTTGAACATGGAGCATTTATCTGTGTAGTGTGCTCTCAGCTCTCATGAAGGACAGAGAGCATGACCCGAACTCTGATCTTTAGTGTTGATTTCTAACTGATTTTTGGTTAAAGTGCTGGGAACAGTATTTTAATCTTGGAAATGGGCAACCTCTGCCCCGGGGAGACTGGTGGGATCTTTCATTGCCAAGGGCTCTGCATAAACCGGAGCTTCAGAGAGGCAAGTTGGCTCACAGCACTGGGACTTCTGGTCCCTGTTCAGAAGTAGGTGATCCTGGGTGTTTTGTTGCCTGTGAATTACGCTCAGCAAGAGAAAACTAGCAGCGGCTTTCTCTCGCAATTAATTACGCTGACCCCATAGTTCAATTCCATATATCCTGTCTCAATCACGCTCCCTAGGAACACCAGTCACTGTTCTTCTGCTGCTTATCCGCCAGCCAGGACTGAAGATGAAACAAATTGGTTTAATAATGGGCGTGTGGTATTTTACTCAGCAGTAAGTTCTACGGCATTCATTGTGACATACTCCCAAGGAAATGTGAACCATATTGCAGTCTTAGAAGACTGCACTACTGTGTGGCTTTTGCACCAACTAAGTGGGCCATACGGAGGAAAGCAGCATGGTATATAGTCCACGGGTCCCCAATGCAGTCTCAGTGGGCACCATGGTGCCCGTCAACACTTCGTGGCACTCACTAGGTGTTCTTTGAAAGTGGGCAGGGCCAAGTGTTGGGAACATTATTTTTGCTTTTGCTCAGCAAGGCTTCATTGGAGATTGGATGGGCTGTGCAGATTTTTTAAAATGTTGGCTTGGCAGTAGCTGCCACCACAACACAAAGATTTGTATGTCTGAAGGTAAATTGGCACCCATTTTGTGGCTGCACATTTTGTGGCTGACTGCACATTTTTTGGCTGTGCCCACCATGCTGTGACAACCCCAAAGGTGCCTGCAGACTCAAGAAGGCTGGGGACCCCTGGTATAGCCTGATACAGATCTCAGAAGCTAAGCAGGGAGACCAGCAAGGAATACTTTGCAGAGGAAAGCAATGGCAAACCACCTCTGCTCCTCACTTTTCATTAAAGCCTCTTTCCATAAATTGGTTGCGATTTGATGGCACATATAATTAGCCATCTTCATTCCTAGGCCTTGGCTTCCAAACTGTAACAAGGTTTTTATTTTTATTTGATGCAACCACATGTCATTTTTCTCTCATTACCCGCTTTCCAGGCTTTCTCCATTCACAGTGAAGTTCTTTCACAAGCCTGGTTTGATACAATCTTTCCAAGCGCATTAAAATGTTATCTGCATGGAAAAGTGCTTTTTTGCAAAGTTCCTGCCCCTATGAGTAGTCTAGCCAAATCAACGTGTCTCTTTATCTCTCCAGACAAGTGCTGTAGTTTTATGAATGTAAGACCATAAAAGTCTTGTAAAACCAAGAGCAGAGTGACCAACTGATGAGAAAAAAACTAGTCTGACTCAGTCCAAGTCTTACAGTGGTTTGATATGCATAAATCAGCAGCTAAAGGAGCATTTTGTGGAATGGCAATGGAATAAGCAGCAGTTAAAACATTACAGGCCAGTTTAAA